TTTGATTGATCAGTGACAGGGCACTAGGCCCTGGGAAGAGCACCCGGCATAGGCTCCCTTGATTGCTACTCCCATGACCTTTGAGGGAAGATCATTCTTCATGCCCTGGGCCTGGGTCTAAATCAGTGGTCCTCAACTTTCCTAATGCCTCAACGCTTTCATACAGTTCCTCATGTTGTGGTGACCCCCCCAACCATAAAATTTTTCTTTTGCTACTTCATAACTGGAATTTTGCTACTGCTATGAATTGGGCGACCCCTGTGAAAGGGTCGTTCAACCCCCCAAAGGGGTCATGACCCACAGGTTGAGAACCTCTGGTCTAAATGCTTATCTCAGGTAATATGCCCAGCCACCTAGTTATTCAACTACCATCTAGTCGATGCCAACTCATGGCAGCCCTATAGGAAAGGGTAGAACTGCCCCTGTCGGTTTTTGAAACTATAACTCTTACAGAAATAGAAAGCCAGACCTTTCATCTGAGGAATGGCTGGTGGTTTTGAACTGCTGACCTTGTGGACCCCAGCCCAACATATAACCTCTATGCCACCAGGGATACCCATAAAGTAAGTGCAAATACTGGTGGGAATCCTGAGATAATGCATGAAATGGAAGCTTTGCCTGAACAAGGTCTCCCTTTGGGGAGCTATGAGCAGATCCTACCTCAGGAAGCAGCATAGCATCCCTCAGGAGGTGCGAGAGGGCACAATCTGGCCCTCATTCCCTGGGACATGCAGCTGGGAGTGTGTGGGCCTGGAGCAGTGGGTGACACAGCTGGCTTGTATTCAGAGACTGCCATCTTGCACCAACACACTTGTTTTTCAACATCCAACTCAGTTCAGGCCCTGAGCCTGTCTAAGAAAACAGCAGACCCCCATCTCTTATCTTTAGGCTACTCCAGGGAATGTGCTCTGTGAATAGAATATATGGTAGAATCGATATTGATGTCAACATCAATAAGAAACAATGATCGTCCAGTCCATTCTGACTTATGACTGCCCACGTGTGTGAGAGAAGAACTGTGCTCCAGAGAGTTTTCTTATTTTAATCATTTTATTGG